CAGTACCACCGGGGAGGCCCACGGACTGTTAGACGGCTGTATAACGCCACGATTGAGCATATCAGACACTTGATCGTCTATAACTTGGCGTTCGGCGTGGGAGACCCGGTATGGACGCTGACGCAATGGTGCGTGGGTGCCAGTGTCAATACGATGGACAATTGCAGATGTTCGGCCCAGACTGGTTTGTTTGAAGTCGAACGATGAGCGGAAGTGGTCGAGAAGTGTCAAGAGTTGAGTTCGTTGGTCAACAGGAAGGTCAGGATCAATCGATGGAAGGAAGACGTCGAGGGAAGAGGTGGCGGATGTGAGAGCGGAAGTAACACTGGCGATCTCAAGGCTTTTTGCTTGATAGGGCAGTTGACTGGTGCAAACACAATCGATGTCCTCAAGGCGGCCGATGCATTCGCCACGGAATAGGGTGACTGGTACAGAAAGGAGATTCGTGGCATAAATGTTTGCGCAAGTGGCTTCGACCGTCAGAAGAGCAAAAGGCAGAAGAACGTTTTTTCGAGAAGTGAAGTCTTCTGACGGCGTGAACATGACGTCCGAAAAAGCGGCATGGTCGCACGAGATCGGCACAATAACAGAAGACATAGGTGGAATATCAGTCTCCGCGGCGACGACAACACGAGAAATAGAAGGCTTATTATAATCGTCGTCGGAGAGCGATGACAATTCTAGTTCGGCCCGGGCACAATCAACAACGGCATGATGTGTGGAAAGGAAGTCCCAGCCTAATATGACGTCGTGTGAGCAGTGCGGAAACACGATAAATTCAACCACGTACAGAACGCCCTGGATGATTAACCGAGCCGTGCACGTCATAGAAGGGTTCACGTGATGCGCTGTTGCCGTACGAAGGGAGAGACCAGAAAGCGGAATCGTAACTTTTCTTAACTTGCGACACAATGCTTCACTCAATACAGACACGGCAGCTCCGGTATCTATTAATGCTTGAACGGGGATACCTTCAATCAAGACAGTTATTTCATTATTCGGTAGAGAACGAGGCCTTGTGGAGTTCGACGGTGGCGCAGTTCTTGCCTCCGGAACTGCGATGGTCAGTTTTCCGTTTGGGCAGGTGGTGCACGCCGAAGCATTGGTGAAGGCGAACGTCGGCGCGGGGAAGGCGATCAGCGTGGGTTGAAGGCGCGGCGGCTCGGCGGAGAAGTGTCCGAAGCTGCATGGAACGGCAGCGTCTGTGGTGGTTCTGTGGGGGCGTAGCCGTAGGTGCCATCAATAATGCCTGAGTGAGGGACGCGCCGGCGACAGAACCGCTCAACATGGCCAGGCTGACGACAGTAATAACAGATAGGTCTGTTATCCGATGTACGCCAAGGGTTGTTGGGAAGCGTTGAAGGACGGCGGTAAATGGGAACATGCGAGCCTGCCGGTACGTGTGTTGCGTAGAAGGCGTTCGCTTGGTGGGCAGGGTCGACGACGTTTGACGGCGCATGTACCTGCCTTCGCGCGACGTCAGCGTAAGTCAGGGGAGCGGACACAGGTGGTGGCTGGTACGTGGGGGGAAGTGCCTCGCAGACTTGCTCTTCGATGGTTTGGCGCAGTGACGAGGTCAGCCCATGCGTATTGCTGGGAAGCAAGGGGGCAAGGGACAACTGGCGTGCCACTTCCTCTCGGATAAATTGCTGGATTTGCGGGGTCAATACAGTCTGTTCTGGAGATATTGCACCAACGGTCAATGCTGGCGTGCTGGTCATGTCGAAAGTAGGCCGTCGCGTTGAAATGCGCTGTTTTCGCAACTCATCGAAACTTTGGCAGTGTTGGATGACTTCCGAAACTGTTTGCGGGTCTTTAGCCACCAGCATGTGGAAGGCATCGTCCTCGATGCCCTTCATAATGTGTTTTACCTTGGCGGTTTCCGACATGTCAGGATCAAAGCGACGGCAGAGGCCTACGACGTCCTCAATGTAGGACGTGAAACCCTCTCCCGACAGTTGGGCGCGATCCCGCAAGCGCTGTTCTGCACGGAGCTTGCGCACTGTCGGTCGGCCAAACACGTCCGCGAAGGTGGTCTTGAAAGTGGCCCAGTCGGTAAGCTCGGCTTCGTGGTTGTTGAGCCAGAGCTCTGCTACTCCTCTGAGGTAAAAGTGGACGCGGCCCAGTTTGTCGTTTTCGTCCCACCTGTTGTTGACGCTTACTCGTTCGAACGAAGAGAGCCAGTCCTCGACGTCCTGCTCATCGGTGCCGTTGAAGATGTCTGGATCTCGCTCTCTCGGGACGCCGGGACAGTGGACAGGTGGAGATGTAGGAGCCGTCTGCTGTGCAGCGTCGATGGACATTGTTGATGGCGAAGGTAGAGTTCGGTTGCGGAGTTCCAGGATGGAAAAAGGTACCCAGCACTCTCCACCACTTGATAGTACACCTTTAGTGGTGAGCAGAAGAGACGTTTACTTTGTGGAAAACGTAGCGGTAGAACCGACCAGCTGTCAAGCGGAGCGAGCGCGAGCAGCAACAACACTCTTCCTTCTCTTCTTCAGCTGGCGTTCCGGCCTGTGCCAAATATCAATGCTACAATATATATATATATATATATATATATATATATATATATATATATATATATATATATATAATATATATATATATATATATATATATATATATATTCCGCGAGCGAATTAGGTAAGTAAAGCTGCCCCCCCCCCCCCCCACTCGTCAAAGAGTTGGTACGCCACCGAAGTACCGATTTCACGTGCAAGTCACTTGCACGCGACATCAGTGCTTCGGTTTTGGTTCCACCTGTAAATTCGTTAGAGTTCAATAACTCTAGGAAAATTACTGCTGATTCCCGTTTACTTAATTACCTCTTTTCTCTATCTTTAGCTTTACTGATTTCAACTTCCTTATATATTCTCTGGTAATCTGCCGACACACACACACACACACACACACACACACACACACACACACACACACACACACAAACAGTGGAATCGAGCAGTGGGAAGCTCAGCTTATAATCTTTCCCTGAAACTTGATTCCGTGAACCAGGGATATAGTTAGTGTCCGTTTTTTTTTTTTGCATTATATAGACTTAAAGAAGCGCACACTTGCAGCGCTGCTAATTCCTCTCTCTTTCTCGGCAATGATGAACTAATTGTATTTATGCAGAGAGTTGTGAGGTGATGCATAAAAGACCACCGCATATCCACAAAGTGATGTAATGTAAGAGGCGCTTGCTCGGAAATGATCGCGCGCTCCACTAATACTCCGTTTACATTTCCCACCATTGTATATAAACGTAACAACGTTAGTATACATCTCAGCACTGACCGTTTTGCATGTTTCTGCGCATGCCCCATACTTTGTAGTAGAAAACTGTGTATTGCTTGCAATTTTTTTTTTCATACAGTCATAACCATATCGCTCAAGTGCCTATATATGTTTATTGATAGTGATACGATATATGTCATATCTATGACGATAATAGTTAAGCACGTGTTGGGGCCCCCACTCTACTCATCTATTTAAAAAGTGCGTTTTTTCGTGTACCCTGTATTCCCTGACGAAGTCAGGTGCTCCTGCGGAAACATTGGAAGAAACAAACATTTTCGAACTTCGTACATCGTATATATATATATATATATATATATATATATATATATATATATATATATATATATATATATATATATATATATATATATATATATATATATATATATATATATTCCGCGAGCGAATTAGGTAAGTAAAGCTGCCCCCCCCCCCCCCTCGTCAAAGAGTTGGTACGCCACCGAAGTACCGATTTCACGTGCAAGTCACTTGCACGCGACATCAGTGCTTCGGTTTTGGTTCCACCTGTAAATTCGTTAGAGTTCAATAACTCTAGGAAAATTACTGCTGATTCCCGTTTACTTAATTACCTCTTTTCTCTATCTTTAGCTTTACTGATTTCAACTTCCTTATATATTCTCTGGTAATCTGCCGACACACACACACACACACACACACACACACACACACACACACACACACACACACACACACACACACACACACACACACACACACACACACACACACACACACACACACACACACATGTATGAAAGAGGCGAGCAAATGTAGTGTTCCCCTTGATATTGAGTATCTGTTGGCACATTTCTTAAAACACCCAATATATACTAAAACCTCTCTGTGCCGCAATAGTTATAATTGTGCGCCAGCAAGCTCGATATGCGAAGGATCCATCGACAATAGATTGATCTGAAAGCATGCATCTACAATGGGTGCATGAAATAATTTGTTTCATAAACGAGAAGAGGCATTTGCTCGTTGGTGTAACCTAAAAGTGGTTTCCATCTCAATTTTTATGGTGGAACTGCAAACTGACGCGAGCAAAGCGCGTATTCCATTGCAGTCTATGACGGTTCCGCCCTGTTTTTCCCCTAGCAATATGGCCGTTGATGGCTTCACTTGCTCCCGTTGGCGGCGGCCGGGACTGTCACTCCAGGGAGTCTATAAAATTTCCTTGCTCTGACTCCAGTCGCAGCCAACAGAACAATAGCCTTTGAGATTTGTGTTGCAAAATATTTTTTTCACTTATGTTGTTGTGCAAACGCTAAAAAAAATTGATGAAAACTAATACAGCACATTACCCTTAAAATAGCTCTTTTAAAAAACCTAAAAATGGCCCCAAAACAATATTTTTTTCTTCGTTTGAAAGACATATTTTCTGTTGATGTTTGAATTAGTTGCCTTAAAACAATATTTTTTTCTTCGTTTGAAAAACATATTTTCTGTTCATGTTTGAATTACTTGCCTTGACATGAGTGAATTAATTTTTTTTAAACAAACCTTAGCCACTATTAACAGATACAAATCTCGAGGGTTGTGTTTTTTTTTCATTGCAAGAATAAAAATGCATCATCCCCGCCTTGTTTGAGCCATATGCGTCCGCAACGAAACCGAAACTGCAAGAATTCACGCAGCGGTCAAAGCTTCTGTCGCCATCTGTCGGGTAAATCTGGCAGCCTCGCTAGATCGTGTGGGGCAGCACAAAGTTACTGCTCGGGCGTCAGGTGTTTACACGATTGGCGTGCTGTACTTTTTGTCAATCTCGTGGTTCTGCCTCTGGATCGGAATACCTCCGGCGATGGACACAGCCAGGTAAGTCACTCTTACGAACTCCCAACGCACTGCGGACCTCGCTGGAATGCCAGGAACACCGCGAAAGCGTACTTCGAGGGGGCACCTTTCGAAAAAACTGTGGATCGGATCACTCACTGTGTGGGATGAGCTCGGTTCGCAAGGCGCCTGTGTTTGGTAGCGAGGGCTCCTCCCTCCGAGCTATCGTGTGCTCGCAGTTTTGTGCGGTCGTGTATTTATTTGTAAGCCTAACCTCGGTCTTCTCGGAACATCGGAGACCAATCAGTGCGCGTGGTAGTGGTAGGTTAGGGACGAGGAAAAATAGCCGTTACGTAAGCGAACGTCCACGCCCTTCAAAGGAGGCAGTCGTGGACTCTCCGAAGTGACGGAGAGACGTCGCGGACGACTTGACGCATGGTTTGATGACCTCACGACGCCCCGGGTCTTCCTCCGTTTCGGAAACCCTTGTTCGTGCCGCACAACTCTGTATTTTGTTGTTTTTCTACGAGCTTGCCGCTGGAAAGCTTTTCGAACGACTCCGTGGCGTCTTTTTTTCTCGTACAGGCCGGGAGAGCTCTGAAATCGCGTTGGCCTGTTGTAGTGGTAGTGCTCGCGTAGGGGTTTCCCTCGGCTGTCGAGGAAATTGAAACCCAGTCTCCGGGGTGATCGGTTCCGAGACACAATGCAGCTGTGGGTTCGAGCGACGGAATTGCCAACGTGCTGGCATCGAGGGGGCGATTCCCCAGGAAACGAGCATGTCGGCACATCGTTTCGAAGGGGGGGGGGGGGGGGGTTGCTAGGAAGAGGTCGGTCGCCTTCTCTATTTTGCTTTTTTTGCCGTCGACCCCACGTACTAGGTACTGAGGCGCGACGCTTGGATGAGTACCATTAGGACCTGGCAGCGCTTTTGTTTAGTGCTTCTAGTATCTTTACTTTTTTTTTTTTAGCCGTCTACCAGCTCTGGGAAAGGAAAGTCCTTGCTTGAAGAGTGTCATTTTGTGTCTTGTCGGCTGTCTCTTCTTGCCGGCGGTCGACCATTGATCCGTGATTAGTTTCCTGTCATCTCCGGCTCGTTTAGTGCCGAGTTTTTTTTTTTTTTTTTTTGTTCTCAGGGACGAAATGTCTGTCCAGTGAACGACCCCCACGACTTTAGACGAGAGGCATTTCCCCCCGTAAAACCACCCACGCGAAACACTCGCGTAGCTTGAGAACTACGCGAAAGCAACTGAACAAACAAAGTAATCAGCGCTTGTCGAAACATCGTCTTTTTTCTTTTTCTTTCTGAGCAGGTACGCATCTCATGAGATCCACAGGTACGCGATCACAATAGTACAATCAATTTCACGCCTGTGCGTTTGTCTTTGACTAGGCGCAAATTATGCGCGTTTTTTTTTCTTTTTTTTTCCCGGGGTGTAGGGACACCTCTAGCTCGCATTGCGTGCTTATTCCAGTGACGCAATGCTCGCAGGTTTCGGTGCAATAAGGAGCCGCTGTGGCCATGAATTAGCGGTTTCACACTGCGCGCACACTTTTCGTGTGACTGTGAGGGCGCAAGCGCGAACTGCGAAATAGCCGGGACGGTTGCGGCGACGCGCGGCAACAAGCGTTCCGTATTCAAGCGCGCATTGCAACACATTTTACGTGCGCGTGTTTTTCTAGTCACGTGTGTCACGCGCATCGCAGTAAATGTGCGCGCGCGTGATGTTGACTCGAGCGTGTCGCTGCTGGAAAAGGTCATTTCTTCAATCCGACGCATGGGAACGGGCAGACGATGTTTCTACGTCACACAAACACGAGAAAGAAAAAGAGCACTAGCTACTACGCTTCGCACGAAACCCATCTCATTCGTCTGCCTCGGATCCTCATCGGCCTCTCCCTTGCTGTCGTAAAGCCAAAGTAAGCTATTATGTGCGCCGTTCCCCATTCATTTCCAGGTAACGACCGTTATACTTGTGGGCTCATAGAGGGTGCTTGCCATCGCCCGTTGGTCTAGTTTCGCGTTGTTGAAACTTTGATGTGGCCGGCTTTTACCAAAGCTAGGGCGCACGACGGCGTGATATCTATTATTTATTTTCGGATGACTCTGTTCTCCTAGTTGTTTTCTTGTTATCGCGTGGCTTCTTGTGTAGCAACATGGAAGAAGCAATACTAGTTTTTTCCTTCCGGCATGAGTAACAATGTCTGGAAACTAGTATGGCTTGCACATGATTTAATGTGGGTAACCAGGTGAAACGCAGTGTGATATAGAGGTTGCATGAACATGGAGTAGGTGCTTCAGACAAACTGACCGACGTTTTGATAAGTCGACCTATCTTTGTCAAAACCTCAAGCATGCAGAGGACAGGAGTCGACGCGGTGCGATGTTTGTGTTTATGTGCACTGATGTTTTTTTTAGCTAGTAGGTTCATCCCCCTCCCCCCTTAATTTGAGATGACGAGTGAAAGGATTATATTCTTTTTGCACATAGCCGTGAATATGCTGATATCTGTACCGATAGCCAGGGAAGGCCAGTTTCCGGTCCACTATTGAAAGTAAACGCACATGTGCGGAATCGAACAAAACAGTTGTCTGGTAGATGACAATATTGATAACAAAGATGGGTCTTTATGAAATAGACTAAATTATTCAATGCAACTAGGTCAGAGATGCTGGCTTTGAAGAAAAAAAAAGTATTTGCTACGTAACTTGAAGTTACATGCCGTCTCAGTTTAGATAGCAGTGAAATCCTCCCATTCTTTGTACCCTAATTCAATTACCCTTTTACTCTATTCATTACATTACACATTGGTAAGTTTAATTTTCGTAAAAACAACACCTCTATCAGGGGATTGTTGCGGCTTCTCGTCTCTGCAAGTAAAACGATGCGACACCGTATTTTTCGGTGTCACAATGGTTGACTCGATTGCACTTGATGACTCAATGATAGGTCGAAATAATCGTGAAACGAGACGACCGCTCGGAACCAATTGCATGCTTGTTTAGCCGGCTCGTTTACTGGTTTTTGTCTGCGCTCAGACCCGAAGCAAGAAACCAGCCCTCGGGTGAAAACAGTGTTCTATACTCGCCGCCTGGGCTACGGTGGGGGGCGCTGGCTAGCAGTCGCAGGGATCGAATGGAGAAAAGGGATTTCGAGAGATTATGTATGTTGTGTAAAAAATATTTCCTTCATTCATAGTGAGGGTCTCGTTCCGGCTGACTTGATGCCTTCCGATGATATGTGAGAGCTTAGCTTTCGGCTGTCCGCTCGTTAAAAAAATCACGTGCTGCTTGACGTCAACTGGTGAATAAAAGTCACAGCTTTGCCGCAAAGGCGGAGCAGTGAATGCTATAGCAACAAATTGGAATATCACGCGAAGAATGGCAAGCAGATCGAAACGTGCCCCGAGTTGCTCATGCACGAATGACGCACGAAACGTACTTACAGGTACAGATGAATGCGAACAAGTGTCTCATTAGTTGCTTCGCTGTGTCTGAAAAGCGCGCCCTTTTCGCAAACGGTGAAAGCCCAAGGAGTGCAATTCTCCCCACTGCAAATTAGCACTCGTGAGCGTCTACCTCCTCCCCACCCCCCCTCTGCGGGGCAAAGTACGCGTGGGAGAACAACGCATGAGCGCGCGTAGCCGCGTTGCGACGATCTGGGAACGTGCGCTCATTGCGCCATCTCGCTGTTAATGCTGAAACACGATAGTTCCCCGAGATCGGCATCGCCAGCGGTAAGTGGTATAGATATAAATAGCTTGCCGTTTCAACGTTGAAGGAGGTGCTCCTTCGTGGCTCAGTGGCTAACGCCTTGCACTGACAAGCAAGAGTGCGGAAGTTCGATTCCGCGCGGCGGAGTCTTTTTCTGGTGTATTATTCTTTCTTGAGTTTTCATATATTTAGTTCACATATACGGTGAATGACGGCGGTCACCAACGCCGGCGGCAAAATCTAGCCTAGAGGGTACATATAATTGCTATCGCAATAAAAAGGAGTGGTCCACACTCGCCGTCATGACCACGAGTGGTGTTGACAAGCACTGCCTGGTTTGAAGGCACATAGATACCCGATAAAGTGAGAAGGGGACGTCGTAGCTCCATCGGTCAGAGCATCGGACGCCTGGACCGAAGGTCGCAGGTCCGGTCCCTGTCGGCGGCAAGTTATCTTTTCGTCCACTTTTGTTTCTTCGTGTCTTATGAATGTGGAACAGATTGTGCGCCAAAGATTGGCTTAATCCTCTGAGCGAAAATTGGTATGGAACACTTCGCAAGCTTTCGCCGCAGCCGCGGAATCGAAACTGCAGTCAGTTTGGCTGCGCATGGGTTAACTTCTCGACGTACGAATCTATTGATGTATGTGAGTTGCTAGTGTGTTGTCGGAACTAGGACGCCTTCAGGCATGTAATCGAACCCGGAACCATACTCTGCTAGCGGATAACGTATACTTCTGCCGCGAGAGAGCTCCCCTCGTTCTTTCCTCTTTTCCTTCTTACGCTTCTTCTGCTTTCTTTAATTTCGTTACTTTTCTCTACGGTGTCAATGCACTTCACACGAAATTCTGCAGCTATATTTACTCTATTAAATAAAGACCAGGAGGGACCCACGATTCGGACTGTACATCCATCGCTGTAAGTCAGGTGGCCCGGTGTGCTGATGTCCCGCAGGCAGGTTGCGTCGACAAGCCCCTTGTAGTTCAGGTAGTTTGAACAGAATGTCACCTTTGAAATAACTTGTATATATGTATGGGTCATTTCTGAAGAGCATTTGCCTTCTGGTCTGGAAAAAAAAAAAAAAGCAAACATATCGGTTCTGATTTCCGCAATGACCTAAAATCCTTGCTCCGATTCTGACATGCATATTTTTTGTTCCTTGGTGGTGGTTCGAATCGGAAGCGACCGCGTGCATGAGGTGCCTCGCGAAGAAGAATGCTTCTCTGTAGCTCAGACCTGAACGAATCGCTTAATTGCTATAGATGAGAAATGAACGTGAGTAATCTTTACAGGAGGGCCCAGGCTTGGTTCCGTGCGAAGCCGCGGGCCACTA